GGGATACCCTGCTTACAGGGGTAAAGGAGGAACCCAGGGCTTTGGACAGGTCCAAGGCAATGTCAGGGAAAGAACCTGGTACATTTGTCATGTGGGGGTGCATCCCTGTGTATCATCTGGAACCACAGTACAGAGTCCATACTCTACACACAGCATTGCCCAGCATGCTGAAGCTCTGGGTTCTACCACCAGCACCAGCATGGTGGTGAGTACCTGTACCCTCATTTCAGAACTTGGAAGGTGGAGGCAGGAGCTACATAGCAAGTTGGAGAGCAGCCTGGGTTATGTGATGCCCTGTCTCACAAAATAACAAAAATGATGAGAACTGGGACTCGAAACTGAGCTTCCTCAGGGGCCCTTTGGTGTTGCTTTGACAAGTCAGGACATGGACACTCGGGACCACAATGGACTAGCTTTGGGGTCCAGAGACTTTGTTCATGTTTAACTGGACCTGAGGTGGCTCAAGTCACTTTGGAAAAAAACCATTATGTCTTACAGTCCCATATGACAAAGCCTGCAGTGCCTCCTGTCCACGGTTCCAGTTGAGAGAAGCCATAGACACACAGCCAAGACATCTTGGCTGAGTAGACACCGTTGCTAGTTAACCAGAAGCCTAAGTGTAGAAACAGATTGGGACAAATGGAAGGTTTTCCAACAGAACTTTCCAGACTCTGGTTCATGAGTCCCAGAGCCATTGCTAGAAGGATGGGTTATGTCTCACCTCCCCCTGCCTTTGAATCGCCCTCCAGTGTAGCAGACCAAACCCACCCACGATAACCTCACCATGCATCAAATCATCTCTGAGGTGTGGGAGCCCAGAAACACTGAGCTGGATAGCTCCAGCCTGAGCTGCCTTGTGAGGTTATGGAAGGCGGCCCTTGGAGGCTGCCATCTCATCTGAAAACTCAGCAGGGCCAGGGAACCTGCCTCCAAGGCAGTGTTTGGCACATTGGTGTGACTGTGGGTGGGAGGCCTCTGCCCATCTGCTTAGTGTCCTCGGGATATGGTGGTGGCTCCAAGGCCACAGGCTGAAGTATCATGATCTTCATACAGATCTGAAAGATGGGCTTCCGTATGGTGTAACTGCGGTCTACTGATTACAGGGGTCAGTGCTATTCTCGGGGCTGGGGCGGGAGCCCTTCGGATCACAGGGTTGCCTCCAAGTGGGTCTTGAGGTGCCATCTTGGAGGCTGCTGCAGAAGAGTCCAGAGCAAGGAGACTTAGGAAGGCCCACTGAGAGGAGAGGTTTGCAATCAGGACCGGAGTTCTAGTAACTGCAATCTGGTTCCCCTCCACTGCCTGAGAGAGTAGGATGGAAATCAGGGCCTCCCACTTTCTCAAAGTTCCTTCCTGGCTGACTCCTGGTCTAGCAGGGCCCTGGGAGAATTCTCAGCTAAGGTGCTGGAGCCAGGCAGCATGGTTGCAAAACAGAACTATGGCAAGAACGGCTGATGCAGGGGAGTTGGAAGGCATCAGAGACAGATGATCTCAGTGCCATAGATGTGGCATCTGTGACCTCTGGCTCACACCTGCCTGTCTGCCAGTCTGCTAGGGAAGGCAGAGGTCTGGGCCTCTCAGAAAACAAAATTACTCAAGACAAAGCCAGGAGCAAGACAGCTTTCCGATAACAAACACCTGTGGTTTGTGGAGGCTGAGGGAAACTGGATGGAAGCTGCCATCCCTGAGCCTCTAAGGGCAGGAACAAGGGGCCTCTGTGTATGGCTTAAATCACCCTTTTTTCATGTATGTGTGGAGGGGGCGACAAGCTCAGGTACTGATCCTCACCTTCACCTTGTTTGAGACAGGGTTCCCTACTGTCTGCCCACATGCTTCTGGCTCCCATTTTGACATGAACCTAGGATTATAAATGCTCAAATCCGCTTTTTGTGGATGAGGATTCAGGTCCTCAAGTTTACACAGCAAGCAGTTGTTTGCCCACTGAACCTGGAGTTCGCCAGTTCAGCTAGGCTGGCCCGCCAGGGAGCCCCAGCACCCACACATCTCTCGTCTCCCCGGTGGATTACCAGCTCACATCACCACACTCGTCTTTTTTAGGAGGGTTCTGAAAACCAAACTCAGTCCTCAAGGTTGCATAACGAGCACTTTACCTACTGAGCCCTCTCCCCAACCCTTAAATGCAATTCTTTTTTTAAAATTTTTTTTATTGAGAATAAGAAAAAGTTTCCGCCTCCTCCCAGCCTCCCATTTCCCTCCCCCTCCCCCCACTCTTCTCCCCCTCCCCCCACTCTTCTCCCCCTCCC